GATGACAACTTCCTCATTGGCTCAAGGGGGCAATTCGTTCAAAAAGGTTAAGAACCACTGCTTTAGACAATGATTTGATACAATTTTGTATATTCTCTCTCTGTCCTTCAGATGCTTTGTAAGGGCTTAACATATTCCACGGAAATGCATAATATTTCCAGCCAGGTGATGTGATCTGTATTATCTTTCAACAAACTCTGTGATCTTTTTATTTCTATTTAGGCTGATCAGGAAACAGAGTTATCAGCGCTGTTGAAGCTGTAGTTGGTTAATTAGTTCAGAATTTTGCAAGATCAGTATTTTGCAAGTTTCAAGGTCAATACAAGGAAGGGATCCAGTCTTCATAAAGGACAAAATAAAATCATGTCTTTTAACAGCTGCAGCAGGAAGATGTTCAATGCTTTTGGGTTTTTTTTTAAAAAAAATATTGCATATCTTTGCTTTTGTGTATTAGTAGGGCTTCATTGTACAGCCAGTACAGTATATAAAGAGAATCTGAATGAACAATTGACAAAATCATTCAGATGTGGAGTCTGCCATTGTGAAATGCAATTGTTTTCCCAGTTAACGCAATTCAATTAAAGGGATAAGCAGGGGCAGTCTTGCAAATCATTAAACAGTCAAGGCTGATTTAGGCCTTATATAAATCTTACAAACTTTGGGTCCCTTTGACTATGACAGGTTTTTTTTTCCTTTCAGAACTGTAAATATTTACTTACTGTTTAGTCACACATAGCTCTTGTTGTATTTCAAGGGTATTATGATATTATTTTGCCAGCAAACTGCTAAGCTTCTTCTGCAGTTAAAAAAATAAATAAATGGCTGTATTCATGTTTGTGAAAATAAACAAGGTGGAAGAGTCTTTTGTGAAATGGAGCTGCCCAGGCCACCTGGATGAGGAACAGAAATGAATACCCCTGCACAGCTCCAAATAAACTTTGGACTTGCATGCCAGGAAGGAAACCTTGTGAAGGTTTCAATATTCCTCTTTGGATGTGAGGCTACCAGTGTTTGCTGTGCCAACTGGGGGATTCTAGGAGTTGAAGTCCACACATCTTAAAGTTACTAACTTTGAAAAACACTGGACTATAATCAGGAAACTAAACTAGACTGGAAATATCGGGGTGGGGACCAGAAAAGCAAAACAAAGAAATCAATTATTTAAAAAAAAATCATTGACATGTCCATAACAGGATTTTGAGCTTGACTTATGAGAGATCTTTCATTTCCATTCTTCTTCTTCTTCTTCTTCTTCTTCTTCTTCTTCTTCTTCTTCTTCTTCTTCTTCTTCTTCTTCTTCTTCTTCTTCTTCTTCTTCTTCTTCTTCTTCTTCTTCTTCTTCTTCTTCTTCTTCTTCTTCTTCTTCTTCTTCTTCTTCTTCTTCTTCTTCTTCTATATCCGTTATCGGACGTTGGCGATCCTGTTTTTATCAGCAGCCGCATGAAAAAGTGCTCCTGAGTTTTGTCCAAACCAATCCCTTAGATTTTGAAGCCACGATGTTCTTCTTCTGCCTGGACCTCGTTGGCCTTCCATCTTTCCCTGGAGGATTAAATGGAGTATGCCGTATTTTTCTGGGTGTTCATTTCCATTAAAGAAGAGAAAAATAAAAAAAAACTAAACTGACAGTTCCCCACCCCTTTTTTATAAACGTTCCACAAAATCAACTCATAAGCTTTTGCTGGACTGGATGCCTTTGGGGTGGGGGAGAGAGAAAGAGAGATGGTATAGTATGTGGAATGCAGCAGCTCTCTGTGGAAAAAGAAAGCTCCCTACTCACAGAGAGTAAAAATAGCTTGTGGGCAAACATGCTTGTTTTAAATCTGCAGGAAGGGGCATTAGTTCAGCAATAAACGAAAAGAGAATTTGGCCATGTCGTCCCTCCGCCTTAGGCCGAGGAGAAGCTCAATCAATAGGCCCATTCATCTAAATGTAGAACGTAGTCCTTTGGTGGAAGGCCGCAAGCCAGCAGAGAGTTAAACTGCTTGTGCAGGACTCGGGTTGTGTAGGAGGGAGTCAGAAGGCCGAAGAAACTAATATTGTGTGCCCTACAGCCCTTCCTGTCTTCAAAATGAGTCCATGTTGAAAACCAGAAGCAAAACTCATGTCTTTTAATAAAAAAAAATTGTCCACCTGAAAATATGTTAGCAGCTTCCTTCAAATGTTTGGATAAATAGACTAACCTGGTCCCTCCTACTACATTAAAATGTAGTTTCTGAGAAGAATTGCCAGTATGTGTGTTTTAAAGTGCATTTTAATTGTTGCTTTTAAAAAAAAATCCAATTCTGACCTTTGGGGGTGGGGGGAGGTCCTGTTTTCAGCAGCATCAAGATCAGTTTCAAAGAGAAGCCGTGTTTGAAAGGCCACCAGGAAGAACATGGATGCTCACCACAGGTCACTTATAGCCGTGAACGGAACCCCCAAAATGTGGTCCCAATGTTGTGATGGCCACAACCACCATCATCACTACCCCTTGGTTGTTTGACTGCATTCTGGGTGCTTGGCAATTATGGTGTTTTCCAGTTCTGGGTCAAAATGCTCCATAGTGAACAATGCATTCACTTGATGACTGCTGCAACACAAAATTGTAAAATTGGGCCAGTCGCGTGATGATCCACTTTACAACCATCACAACTTATGACCATAATGATCAGGCTCTTGTTTCTTTCATAAGTCAAGGCTGCCTTGTACATATCTTTGCAAGTAATGAATATGATCTAAACAGAAAAGCATGAAGTCTCCCACAACACAAAGAGATTGTGAGCTGGCATCCCACAACCTCTTTAAGCCCACCTCCCACCATTGGGACTTGAACCAATGCCGTACCTTCCCAATGTATTGGTTTCAATTCCCAGAATTCTTAGCCAACACATCCTTTGCTAAGGGATGCCTGCTCAAGGGAAGTGGCATCAATGGTGAGATGACAACATACCACACACAAAAAAAATGACACAATGGTCGCACGTGAATGACACGTGGCCTTATCATAGCCTGTGCTGGACACCTATGCTGGGACCATCCAAATTGGAGAAGGTTGTAAGCGTAAAGATTTCCCCTGTCTGGTTGTTGCCGATTCTGGGGGGGGGGCGAGCTCATCTCCATTTCTTAGCGGAGGGAGCCAGTATTGTCCGAAGACCCTTTCCATGGTCATGTGGCCAGCATGACCATACATACGCTCAGGCACATGGAAAAAATGGTACCTATTTATCTACTTGCATTTGCATGCTTTCAAACTCCTGGATGGGCAGGAGCTGGGACGAGAACAAAAGCTCGCCTCATTGTGCAGCGCTTGGGTCTCGGCTTTCCATCTGACAAGCCCAACATCTTTAACTGCTAATAATAATAATAAAGTTGGAAGGGACCTTGGAGGTCATCTAGTCCAACCCCCCCCTGCTTAGGCAGGAAACCCTATACCAGGGATGTCAAACTGCCGGCCCGTGGGCCAGTTTCATCATACCGGAGCCACACTCACCCCATTGCCGGCAATGGCAAAAAAAGCTCCGATACATCGCGTGACATCACATGACGTCGCAAGTTTGACATGCCTGCCCTATACCATTTCGGACAAATGGCTGTCCAGTCTCTTCTTTAAAACTTCCAGTGTTGGAGCATTCACCGCTTCTGGAGGCAGGTGGTCCCACTGGTTAATTGTTCTAACTGTCAGGAAGTTTCTCCTTAGGTCTAGGTTGCTTCTCTCCTTGATTAGCTGAGCCACTGCACCTCCAGAGAAGGTTGTATTAAGCCTAAATTAACTTTGAGTTGGATATAATTTATTTAACCATTCTTAGGCAAGGAAAACGTGGCTTCTCTTTAAGTTATATGAAGTCTGTGATTGCCGGGCCCATGCTCCGATTTGGACAACTATCCAGGCACAACCAAACTGACGAGCCGTGGCCGTTGGTAGGGGCTGGAGGGGGTAATTCACCCAACAGAAGCTGTCTCCCTGCTGAGGGCTTTCCTCCAGAGGCCCTTTAAAATTATGTGTCCGTCCTCTGGAGAGATTGTGGCCTCCGTGGCTACCTAAGAACTGCACCCAGCCACACCTGGGGAGATTGTGGCCTCCGTGGCTACCTAGGAACTGCACCCAGTCACACCTGGGGAGATTGTGGCCTCCGTGGCTACCTAGGAACTGCACCCAGCCACACCTGAACTGGAAGCCAGGGAAGTTTCTTCCACCTGTTCATTGGGCAAAGCCGATGATTTATCTCCTTACAGGTTTCCCTGGGAAATGGGGAAGTGACTTTTATGTCCTCTTGCTGCAAACATCTGGGGACTCCTGCAGCAGAAACTACAGCAGAAAGGCGCCTAACTCTCTTGTAGATACTTTTAACAATCCCGTTTCACTCCTTCACCCATTCCAAGGCTGGCCCTCGTACTTGTAAAGTAAAATTTACTTCTGAGTGTATGTGTGTGTGTGTTTAAATTTTGCTGGTCATTCGCAGACTAGTCCTCAAGATGACATGCAAAAACAAAACAAAAAAAGAAGCCATCTGGGTAGAACCAAGATGATACAGCTGTGGGGCTCCTGGGTGATTCCACGCTTGGCCAAATTACGCACTGCTGTGTTAGAAGTAAGTCTTCATCCTGGTTCATCCAAGCTGGGAATAAATAAGCAAACATGGCGACTGCTTTGGGAAGAAGGTTACAGTTTATTGCAGAAGACAGATGGTCCATGCAAGAAGCAGCAGAGGAGAAGAAAGAGAGGGAGGACATGGGCAGAAGGTCTTTTTATACCCTCTAGCCCTGCTTGGAATAGTTTCCTGTTCCTGTGGCATGAACTTTGAGGCTATTTCTGAGTGTTTTTCTAGGCTTTGATATCTGTGGTTTAATCCCATTATCATATCCTGCTTCCCAGGTGATGGGGCTTATGACTCTTAAGAGCTTCTTTTGTCTTGAGATCCCTGGCTCCAAACTTCCTGATGGTTCCACATCTGCATATGTATAAGACTAGCTACCGCTTTGGGCAAAGAGATGAGGCCAGGTTTGGTTTCTGCTTTTCAAAAAATGCCTTTTAAAAATCCTTTTGGTGAACAATATCTTTCTTTCTGCCTTTTTAATATTTCCTTCTCTGGGCTAACTTCCCACAGCTGCTTTGGGGACATTTGAATAAGTCCAACTCTTCCGCGGGGCGGAGAGGGCGAAGGGAAACGAGCAGATCGCTGCCTCCTGCAGCCCTGCGGCAGCCTCGCAGCGAAGGACGGAGAGAGGCGCCTCCGCACAGGCTCCCCAGCGCTCTTCTCCCTGCCCACCGGGCGCCAGACCCGGAGATAACGGGGGGCGCACGACCCGCTCCCCCTTCCTCCTCTTGGGGGAACAACCGGAGCTGCGCCTCGCTCGTTCTCGCCCAGCAGCCGGGGCGGAGGAGGAAGCGGGCTGGTCCCCGCCTGGCCCAGCCCAGCCCGCCGGATCACCTGGACGCCCGGGGAGGGGCCGGCCGGCTGGGGCGCACCCGGAGAGGCGCGGCGGCCGATGGAGACGAGCGGGGCGAGGAGACGCTCCGGGGCGCGCCGCTAGGAGCCCTGTCCGGGAGAAGGTGAGTCCCCACCGCGGAGGGCCGGCCATCCCCGAGGGCGGAGGGCTCCGAGGGGCCAGCGCCGCCGGGACACGCGCGCCCCGCTCCTGCCCGCCGACCCGCCCGGGGGGCGCCACGGTTGCCGGACCGCCCAGGCGCTCGCTGCCCCGGCTTGGCCGCGCGCGTGTCCCTGCCCCGCCGCCCCTTCGCGGCTGGATTTCCCGGAGAAGGGGCGGGAGGGCTGCGGGGCCTGAGAGGCTCCCCCTGCCCTGCCCAGCCCAGCCCGCGCTGGGCTGCCTGCCCCGCTCCCGGCCTTCTCCATCTGGGGGCCACAGGTGGGTCGGACTCCAGGCCCCCCGGCCCCCGCCGTTCGGCCCCGATTTGGGACTCTCCGAGGACTTCGGACTACGCCTCCCAACAGCGGCAGTTTTACATTGGAGAAATCTTTACAAGGGCTTCCCCCCCCCCCCCCGTAATAAATAAATATCCCACTTTTCCGCTTTTTAAACTCTTTTAAAGCGGATCCCCCAAAGAGGCCGTGGATGGTCCCCAGAAGTTTGGGTTTGGGCAGCGTAAATTCATTAGGCAAATTAGGCGGTGATTAAAATTGTGTCTCCCCACCCCACCCCCCAGTCTGAGCTCTTCCATCTGTGCAGGTTGTGGCTTTCGGATAGGTTGGGGGGTGGCTGTAAAGCGCACAGCTTGGGGTCCTTAAGTTTCAGTCTCGGTTTCTTTCGCTCACATGTACGCACACCTACAGACACACAGGCGTAAACTCAGGTTTTTAGAGTCATAAAGCAAAGGGGTGATTTAAAAAGTGGACTCTCTGTAGTGTAGGATCTGAAGGCCAAAAGTAGATTTTGATTGGCTGGCTGGAGTAAGAATAGAAGAGAATAAGAATAGAATAGAGCTGGAAGGGACCAGTGATGGCGCACCTTTTAGAGACCGAGTGCCCAAAAACTGGCCCCGTCCCCGCTCCACCCCCTGTCCCGCCCCCACTCCGTCCCCCCATCCCCTGCCCCGCCTGCCCGCAGGGCCACTCACCACCTCCAGGGCCTGCCGCAGATCACCCAGGCAGCCCAGCAGCGCTATGGCGGTCACGCCCTCTGCCCACACCCTGCAGCATCAACTGTGCACGATGGGGTGTAAGGGCAGAGTTTTGTCTATGCTGCCTGGCTGCCATGTCCTTGGCTGCGCTGCTCCGTGTGGTCCATGCTCGGGGCTGACTATCCTTCAGGGGGGCTGCTGGAGAGGAGGGGGTCGCGGGGGGGAGGCGAGGCTGGGGCAACGGCATGTGTGCCCACAGAGAGGGCTCTGAGTGCCGCCTCTGGCACCCGTGCCATAGGTTCGCCACCACTGACCTATACTGTCTCAGACAGGTGAATGTCCAGTCTCTTCTTAAAAATCTCCAGTGATGGAGTGCCCACGATTTCTGGGGGTAAGCTGTTCCACTGGTTGATTGTCCTCACTGTCAGGAAGTTTCTCCTTAGTTCCAGGTTATTTCTCTCTTCGGTCAGTTTCCAACCATTGTTTCTCATCTTTTGCTCTGGTGAACAACCGGACCCCCTCTACCTTGTGGTAGCCCCTCATATACTCCAAAACTGCTATCACGTCTCCCCTGTTTCTTCTTTTCTTTAGACTAGTCAAACCCAAGTCCTGTAGCCGTTCTTCTTATGTTTTAGAGTAATCCCCCTCCCCTTCTGGGGTGGGCAGAATTTCTTTCCCTGGGGATTACCGTGTTGCCACCTTGTTCAAGGTCTTTTCAGGATGGTGGGGAATTGATAGAATTAAAGTAACTAAATCATGATAATGCCCAGAATTGCAGCCCTTGAAAATTTACAATAGTTGTTAAGTGGTGAGCCAAGATACAGATAATTAGTTTTGTTTTTTTTCATGATAAAGCTGGATATAGATTTTAAATTTAAGAAGGGGAGATCTGCAGCCACGGACATAGGAGAGACTATATTTTGCTATTTTTATGTGTCTCAGTGTTGAAACCATTGAACAATATCTGAACTGTTAGGACAACCTTTGTATGACGGGTCAATAATTACTTTCTTACTGTTAATCAGTATCTGTATTCTTACATTTACACACTTCGAGATTGATGTGAGGTTAGAGGAACGCCAAAGAAACTTTTACATTAATGATTGATAGAGTGGTTTTGTTTTCCTTTGAGCCTGAGAGCAGGGATGGTGGTGTTTTTTTTAAAAAAAATTGTTTGTTTAGATAAATAAAAATTACCAGGTCACGGAAACCTTCAGTGGCTTTGTAGAAGGGAATATTTCAGCTAAGGTGATCGGAGTTCAGTAAATCGTGCAAACAGTAAAACAAAGGCACGGCTTAATTTGGGGTCTGTGTGTATTAAAAAAAAAGAGTTCCCGCCACCATCTCTTGAACAGGCTGGAATAACTGGTGCAAATGAAGAACTGGGACTGGAATTCAACACATCTCCTGGGCAACAGGCTGGAGAAGATTCAAACTGGCAGGAATCTCAGCAGAATTAGAATTTGACCATTTATGTCTTTTAGATTAGAGTCAGTCCAGCACTGTCATTTTCACCCTNTATTTGAGTGGACAGTCCACTTTTTTCACATTATGTTCACTATTTTTTTTCACAAAATAGTGGACATTTTTTTTTATTCAAAAGCTTTATGATGAAATGGTACGTAATCTAAAGCTGTACAGTCTACTTTTTTTACTACTTAACCCCCCCCCCCTGCTTGTCCGCTATTTTTTGGAAGCAAGACCTGGCAACCCTAGCTGTAAAGCGCACAGCGGGGTCCTTAAGTTTCAGTCTCGGTCTCTTTCGCTCACATGTACGCACACCTACAGACACACAGGCGTAAACTCAGGTTTTTAGAGTCGTAAAGCAAAGGGGTGATTTAAAAAGTGGACTCTCTGTAGTGTAGGATGTGAAGGCCAAAAGTAGATTTTGATTGGCTGGCTGGAGTAAGACTAGAAGAGAATAAGAATAGAATAGAGCTGGAAGGGACCTTGGAGGTCTTCTAGTCCAGCCCCCTGCTCAAGCAGGAGAACCTATACCAGTGATGGCGCACCTTTTAGAGACCGAGTGCCCAAAAACTGCCCCCGTCCCCGCTCCACCCCCTGTCCCGCCCCCACTCAGCCCCCCCATTCCCCGCCTGCCTGCAGGGCCACTCACCACCTCCAGGGCCCGCCGCAGATCGCCCAGGCAGCCCAGCAGCACTATGGCGGTCACGCCCTCTGCCCACACCCTGCAGCATCAACTGTGCACGATGGGGTGTGAGGGCAGAGTCTCGTCTACGCTGCCTGGCTGCCATGTCCTTGGCTGCGCTGCTCCGTGTGGTCCATGCTCGGGGCTGACTATCCTTCAGGGGGGCTGCTGGAGAGGAGGGGGTCGCGGGGGGGAGGCGAGGCTGGGGCAACGGCATGTGTGCCCACAGAGAGGGCTCTGAGTGCCGCCTCTGGCACCTGTGCCATAGGTTCGCCACCGCTGACCTATACTGTCTCAGACAGGTGAATGTCCAGTCTCTTCTTAAAAATCTCCAGTGATGGAGTGCCCACGATTTCTGGGGGTAAGCTGTTCCACTGGTTGATTGTCCTCACTGTCAGGAAGTTTCTCCTTAGTTCCAGGTTATTTCTCTCTTCGGTCAGTTTCCAACCATTGTTTCTCATCTTTTGCTCTGGTGAACAACCGGACCCCCTCTACCTTGTGGTAGCCCCTCATATACTCCAACACTGCTATCACGTCTCCCCTGTTTCTTCTTTTCTTTAGACTAGTCAACCCCAAGTCCTGTAGCCGTTCTTCTTATGTTTTAGAGTAATCCCCCTCCCCTTCTGGGGTGGGCAGAATTTCTTTCCCTGGGGATTACCGTGTTGCCACCTTGTTCAAGGTCTTTTCAGGATGGTGGGGAATTGATAGAATTAAAGTAACTAAATCATGATAATGCCCAGAATTGCAGCCCTTGAAAATTTACAATAGTTGTTAAGTGGTGAGCCAAGATACAGATAATTAGTTTTGTTTTTTTTCATGATAAAGCTGGATATAGATTTTAAATTTAAGAAGGGGAGATCTGCAGCCACGGACATAGGAGAGACTATATTTTGCTATTTTTAATGTGTCTCAGTGTTGAAACCATTGAACAATATCTGAACTGTTAGGACAACCTTTGTATGACGGGTCAATAATTACTTTCTTACTGTTAATCAGTATCTGTATTCTTACATTTACACACTTCGAGATTGATGTGAGGTTAGAGGAACGCCAAAGAAACTCTTACATTAATGATTGATAGAGTGGTTTTGTTTTCCTTTGAGCCTAAGAGCAGGGATGGTGGTGGTTTTTTTAAAAAAATAGTTTGTTTAGATAAATAAAAATTACCAGGTCACGGAAACCTTCAGTGGCTTTGTAGAAGGGAATATTTCAGCTAAGGTGATCGGAGTTCAGTAAATCGTGCAAACAGTAAAACAAAGGCACGGCTTAATTTGGGGTCTGTGTGTATTAAAAAAAAAAGAGTTCCCGCCACCATCTCTTGAACAGGCTGGAATAACTGGTGCAAATGAAGAACTGGGACTGGAATTCAACACATCTCCTGGGCAACAGGCTGGAGAAGATTCAAACTGGCAGGAATCTCAGCAGAATTAGAATTTGACCATTTATGTCTTTTAGATTAGAGTCAGTCCAGCACTGTCATTTTCACCCTGGTGATTTATAGCCTCATTCAGCAATTGCTGAGAGATTTAGAATCCGGTCTCCTGGTGATAGATTGCCATGACGCCCGTAAGTTATTGCTGGGGAAATAGCTTATGACTTAGTTGCCTTCAGGACCATCCGCTCTGAAAAGGCGACCTGTCAGTTTGAATTAAGGCAGCATTTCAGTTCTACTTTGTCGTTATAACACAGAGCATCTCTAAATACATTTGGAGTGCTTTTCTTGCATCGCTGAGCAAGTGCATCCTGTTCTTTTCAGTAACTTTCCAATATCTTCTGCGCCTGTCATTTTCTGAAAACACTATCTGTGTGTTTATTTATTTATTTG